ATATATATATATATATATATATATATATATATATATATATATATATATACTACAGATCTCTTCCAAACTTAATATACTTATTTTACACAAATACTGAAGTTAAGTTAAAGATGAGCTTAATCAGTTAAGTAATTTAAAAATGACAGGATTTTTAAATTTTCAAAATCGTAAAATTTCACATTTTTTCATTTTCTTATTTGAATAATTTTTAAATGCGATAACTTATCGAATGTCTGTAAATTGCAATTGAAAACTCTTTCATTAAGCTTTAATTTGCGTACTATTGTGAAATTTGCTAGTGTTATTGGTATTTTTTTTTATCACTTATCAGACAATAAAGTAGTAACTAATCAAATAAATGCTTTGTGTATTAAAGTGTTTGAATCGCCTGTTTTCTTTCTGCCTTTGAAATCTACTTCCATATCGGCTGCCGAATGGTCTTTTTTAATAGTGAAGTATATTTTTCATCGTTGCAATAAATCGTATTATTAATGTCAAAAAAACGAACCTCTAATTATACTGTCTTTTGCTTTTATTATAAAAATTGCTTTTATTATAAAATTTGCCTTTATTATAAAAAATTTATTATAAAAAAAATTGTTTAAAGCCAAAAAGGCATACATAAGACAAAATTGAATATGTTTCTCTCACTGCCTGCTTCAAAAATTAAGTTTTTTGAACTTCTGATTATGAAAATTGAAAATTGTCGAGAACTTAACAAATTATCGATTTTATCGAAGTCTCAACTTCATTTTTTATTAATTACACATACGTGAGAAACTAGATACCCTGATTAAACAGAATGATTTGAAATGATTAAAAAATTTTTAATCATTTCAAATCATTTTTAATCGTTAAAAAATAATTAAAAATGATTCAAAATGATTAAAACTTTTTAATCATTTTAAATGATTTTTAATTATTAAAACATGATTGAAAATGATTCAAAATGATCAAAAAATTTTTAATCATTTCTAATCGTTAAAATATGAATTCATAAAATATTTCTAGTCACTTTGAGGTCCCTATGCACTTTAAGGTCCCTGGAGTCACGAAAAACTATTAGGTAATTTTTCTCGCCGATGGTAAGTTTAATTGTTAATAACAATTTAATTGTTTAAAACAATATAAATCAGGAACGATTGATTTGACGAGGAAGTTTATTTGTAAAAAAAGTTTTGAAATTGAAAAACCAACAAAAAATGTCCTTATCATTTTTTTGATGAAATGAATATTTTCGGAGATATCACGCAAAAAACAACAAGTAGCGGTCGAACCTCTCTGTCGCGCGCACACAACTCACGGACTCTAGCGACGGACGACAGGCAGAGAAAAATACAGAGACGAAAAAAAGTTCAATTCTCGGTAACCACTGAAGATTAAAAAAGAAACTTATGGAAATCATAGAGTAGACTCTACAGAAGATTTCCGGACCCATAATCGATCGATCAACCTCATGGACACCGAGCAACAGCCCCACAAGTGGCGTTTTTTGAATTATTTGTCTCAAATTTGACATTTAAAAATTCAATTCTCGGTATCCACTCGAGATTAAGAACTTAAACTCATGGAAATCGTAGAATGGACCCTACAAAAGATTCTTAAGCCCACAATCAATTGATCAACCCCATGGACACCGAGTTACAGCCTCATTAAGGGCGATTTTTAACTTATTTGACAAAAATTTGACATTTAAAAATTTATTTCGCGGTGTCGACTGGAGATTAAAAAAAGGAACTTCCAAAAATTGTAGATAAGATTCACCAAGTGAATGTACACCAAGTGAATGCCCCATAAAGGAATTTTTTTGACTTATTTGTCACAAATTTAACATTAAAAAATTCAATTCGCGGTGTCCACTCGTAGTCCCTCGGCTAAAGAGGGAATCCCGTATGCACTTTTAGGTCCCCGGATTTTGATTAATGATATTTACGTATTTTTTGCCGAGGTTCGTGATAAACTAGGTTATTTTGGTCGCCAATGGTAAGTTTAATTGTTAATAACAATTTAATTGTTTAAAACAATATAAATCAGGAACGATTGATTTGACGAGGAAGTTTATTTGTAAAAAAAGTTTTGAAATTGAAAAACCAACAAAAAATGTCCTTATCATTTTTTTGATAAAATGAATATTTTCGGAGATAGCGCAAAAAACAACAAGTAGCGGTTGGACCTCTCTGTCGCGCGCACGCAACCCACGGATTCGACGAACGGCAGGCACAGAAAAATACAGAGACGAAAAAAAAATTCCATTCTCGGTGTCAACTGAAGATTAAGAAAAGAAACTCATAGATATCATAGAGGAGACTCTATGGAAGATTTCCAGACCCATAATCGATAGATCCACCTCATAGACACCGAGTAACAGCCCCACAAAAGGCAATTTTTTAATTAAATTAACTGAATTTTGACTTTAAAAAATTCAATCCTCGGTGTCCTCCGGAGATTAAGGAAGAAAACTCATGGGAATCTGCTAGGACCCTATACAGAAGATTTCCAGACCCATAATTAATAGATTAACCCCATGGACACCGAGTTACAGCCCCACAAAAGGGAGTTTTTTAATTAAATTAACTGAATTTCGACATTAAAAAATTCAATCCTCGGTGTCCTCCGGAGATTAAGGAAGAAAACTCAAAGGAATCTTCTAGAACACTATACAGAAGCTTTCCAGACCCATAATTAATAGATTAACCCCATGGACACCGAGTTACAGCCCCACAAAAGGGAGTTTTTTAATTAAATTAACTGAATTTCGACATTAAAAAATTCAATCCTCGGTGTCCTCCGGAGATTAAGGAAGAAAACTCAAAGGAATCTTCTAGAACACTATACAGAAGCTTTCCAGACCCATAATTAATAGATTAACCCCATGGACACCGAGTTACAGCCCCACAAAAGGGAGTTTTTTAATTAAATTGACGGAATTTCGACTTTAGAAAATTCAATCCTCAATGTTCTCCGGAGATTAAGGAAGAAAACTCAAAGGAATCTTCTAGAACACTATACAGAAGCTTTCCAGACCCATAATTAATAGATTAACCCCATGGACACCGAATAACAGCCCCATAAAAGGCGTTCTTTGACTTATTTGTCGAGAATTTCAGTTATAAAAAATTCAATTCTCGGTGTCTACTGTATATTAAGGAAGGAAACTCATAGAATTTTTTCAGTAGACCCTACTGAAGATTTCCAGACCCATAATCGATAGATCCACCTCATAGACACCGAGTAACAGCCCCACAAAAGGGAGTTTTTTAATTAAATTGACGGAATTTCGACTTTAAAAAATTCAATCCTCG